CAGATGACATACAGGAGATTTTAGAGTAACAGCGCTGAACCTCTATGACAATGCAGGCAGCCAAGAACTCCTGACTGTTGTGTGTCTGTTTTCAACAGCTGCATAACAAATTATCACAAACTCAGCGACTTTAAACAATACACGTTTATTATCTTACAGTTTCTGTGGGCCAGGAGTCTGGATGTGACTTAGCCGGGTCCTCTGCTCAGGGACTCAGAAGGCTACAAATGAGGCTTTAGCCAGGCTGTTTTCTCACCTGGAAGCTTGACTGGGGAAGAACCTGATTCCGAGCTCACTCAGGAAATTGGAAGAATTTATTTCCTTGTGGCCATAGGACCAAGGGCCCCAGCTTTTTGCTGGCTAATGGTTGGAGGCTGCCCTCAGCACCTAGAGGTCACCTGCTATTCAGAGAGGCCCACATGGACTTTCCCAACATGGCCACTTACTTCATCAAAACAGTGAACAAATTTGAACAAAGTCTCATATAATGCAATGTCATCACAGAAGTGGCACCACCCCTTTTGCCATATTCAGTTGGTCAGGTTTCATCCACAGTCAAGAGGAAGGTACCATACAGGACATGAGCAGGAGTTAGGGACCGTGTAGGGCCAGTAACCTCAGAGTCTGTCCGCCACATGCTGTGTGGATGGGAGAGACATGGAAACAGAGTTGAAAAGCCATCTGCAAGCAGCAAGCATGTAGCAGTGTGGGGCACAAGAACATTCACCACACATTCTGCCATGGCAAGCAGGATAAAAGGCGCAAAAGACAGCAAATTTTGGCAGTGTGATGAGGAAAGTAAGTCTGCCAACTGCACATATTAACCACTTACTAAATAAGTTCATTGGCATAATTCTGTTATGAGGGTCTCTCTCCTATACTTTAGAAGTGTTGGGGGTGAGACAGGGCGGAGGAGGGGAGAGCAATAAATCTAGCCTTATGATGACCCTCAAATTGTGTCACCTGGGCTACTCGCGGGAGACTTGATTGGCATCGGGGTCTGAATGTTGAGTGCGCACAGTGATTGGTCAAAGAATATTTTGGTTGATGTATTTCCCCACTTTCCCACTAGGAAGAATGGAGTCGATGAGACTCTAGAAAGAGGAAAGAGTTGAAAACTTCCATAATTCGATAATCAAAACCCATGTGAATTATCAGATACATGCCAGGTGCGAAAAATGGGATCACAGATAACCAATTCATCGACAGCCTCCACAGAAAGATGTCTCAGGGCTGCACACACGAAGTGCTGGCCTGGGTCGTTCCTCCTGCGCCCTCCCATCCCAGCGCCTCCCCTGGAAGAGCTGGCAGAGATTCTCCAAAGCTGTCAACACGAGGAGGGTACGCAGTTTCATCTCGGTCTTTTCACCAGAAGCACACCCATGACACTGCCATCTGCTCAGCAATACGGCATTCCAGGCACCAGGGACCCTGTTCGGGATGGGAAACTGGGTACAGGGCCATTTCCTCTTGACACCTCAGAACTCATCTCCCCTCTACAACAGTAAGGACAGACAAGCCGATCTATCAGGGACCCAGCGAGCATGGCTGCAAATACTTGTTCTCAGTCATTCTGAGACTCCAAGTGCATTAGGGAGTAACTGAACCCAGTCTGCTTGAGCAACTGCTTCTGCAAAACCCAATTCCATGAGGCTGTTAATGGTGAGAAGAGACTTCCGCGTCATCAGAAACCAGCAGAGGACGTGCCGATTTCTGCTCGTCGGAGGAAACATGCACGTTGGGAAGTATGGTTCTCCCAACAGGGCAGATGGGCAGATTCCCCACCCTCCCCTCCCTTCCCTACCCCGTCACAGACAAAGGGGACAGAGAAAACACTCGAGCCAGCCAGGTTAGGAGAGGTGACACATGGAGGAGAGATGGATAAGATACCATCTCTGGCTTTGAAGGTGTGCCCTTTGGATGCCCCCCGTCCCTTTGTTTGTTTGTTTGTCTTCTGAATGCAGGGGTGTTTGGGGCAGCCTGATGCCATTTTGCCAAAAGGAAACTAGGGGATTTCTGAAAAGACAGCCCAAGGTCTAAATGCTAGCTTCTCCACTGATCCTCTGCCCACCTTTCAACAGAACAGTTTAATCCCTTTAAATCTGTTTCCTCATCTTCTTAGAAGGGAACATTTAAAAGGTGCTTAATCTCCCTGAGTTATTGCAACGGGAGCGGGTTGAGACTCGTCGCAGCATAGAAGCATCCTACACTGTGGAACTGCAGAGCCAAAGCCAGCCTTCGGTCCATCACACCCATTTTAACACTCTGCATGCCTGGAAACTAAAACCCGTGGTGGGAAAGGGACTTGGCCAAGTTCTCCCTGCCACAAAGATTCCGTGTTGGGTACTGCCTCCTGCCCGTATCTGCTAGACATACAGGGGAGAGTTGAAAAATAAAACTTCTCCGCCTTGCCAGGGGCTGAGAGTCTCACTGTGGGGACTGAAGAGGGTGGAGCTTAGGGCAGGGGCAGGACTGGCCGGTGGCGAGCATCACAGAAACTCTGACAGGCGACACCCCTACCTCAGCCAATGACAGCTCCAATCTGACCTGCAGTGACCCTGGGTCTGCATGACTCCAGCTGCCCCCTGCTGCCGGGCATCTGAGTGGCCCATCATCCCAGCCTCTCAGACCCCAGCCACCCCTTCTGAAGGAAAGTGATGGCGGCAGAGCTGATGGAGCAGCGGTTTCAGCAGCTCCCCTGCAAATGGGCAGGTCTGCATCTCCGCACTGGGGCAGCCCCCTCTCCCTGCTCCAGGAAGCTCCGTGGACATATTTGTTTACTCCATTTGCCGGGATGTAGTTTGCATAATATTGAATCTGGAAAGGACACTGCATCCACTGACAGGAGTTTTCCCAGCTGGAAGAAGAGAAAGGAAGGAAAGAAAGAAACCAGCTTTACATTTCTTCCATTTTGGAGTAAAAATAAACACGCTCACACCATGTGTCAGGCTCTCCGATGGATGGTTCTCGGGCTGGGGAAGGCCACGTCTGTGGTCAGGCCATGCTCCCAGATCCAAAGCATTGTTGGCCGGCTCTTTTGTAAACACTGTTGGCAGCTCCAGGGATGGCTCTTTTGGTAAAAAAGATGTGCTGGAACGAAACGTGGGCCTCCAGCCAAGACACATTTCTTCCTATAAAACAGAAAAAAATGCACGTGTCATGATACAAGAAGCCAAGCCTCTTCAAGAGTGGAGGCGTCCTCCTTCTCAGCATCCCAGGAGGATGAGGGGAACAAGGCTGAGCCGGGCTTTGACCTGAGATGCCTGGGAGGGAGCAAAGAGCTGAGGGTGCACACCAGCCCCCACGGCCCCGGCCAGGCTTTCCATCAGGTGCCGTCTGCCAGCTTGCTTATAGCCTCAGGTTGGTCGAAATGCCTAGCTCAGACGCAAGGTATAATGAGCCCCTTCCAAATTCGTAAAAGCAAAGATGCAAAGCACACAGTCAGGGGAAGGGGAAAGAAGCCCAGGAGGGGTGTTCACAGACCTTGGGCAGCCACGCTCCTGGATACTTTCTTCTCACTCACCCCCACCCCCATCACAGACCCCTCTAGCCTTCGTGGGAGGCGCCAGGGAGCTGCACAGAAACACTGCTTGTCCAAACATCATTCCACACCTGTCATGATCCCCCAGGCCCTCCTACTCAGAGTGGTGTCCTCAGGGCACATCAGCCTCACAGGAGGTTGGTTAGAGATGCAGAATCATGATGCCCAGATGTTTCACAGGCACAATGGAAGTTTGAGAGGCACTGCCTGGGGGCTTCCTGGAGCATCCCCAAAATTGGACACACATGCCTCCTTCAAGGTCCTGTCAGCCGAGAAGGATGGACAGTTGATAAATTATGAGGTGATAAATTCTCCTCCCCCTCACAGCACCCCCAGGTCACAGCCTGGGTTTGGGTAAAAGGCGCTTTGAACTCTAGATCCCACTGCTCCCAGGACTCCAGCTATCCCAGAGGTGGGGAGGGGCATCTGCTCACACTCTCCCCCCACCTTCCTGGGAGAGGGAAAAACATAGAGCTTAATTTCAGGATGATTTAAGACATAAAATGAGAGTAGATAATCAGATCTGGGATTCTTCATTGTGATTTTTCATCCTTTAGCCAGAGTTTGGCTTGACCTGCTGTAGGGACAAAGGAGTCGAGTCCCATACAGCCTGAAATGGAAGGTAGTTGTGTCACACTGCAGGAGCACTGGCCCAGCATGGAGCCCGATTCTGT